GTTGTGTATTAGTAGCATTTATGATGTTTCTCTAATGTGAGCTAGTACATAACCCAGCTAGTACCAAGCCCCTCTCTGTCCTACCAGAAGAATCCATGCCAAAATGTCATCTTTTGCATTCATATAAAAATCATTAAGAGATTTATTAAATTGGTATAGTTTGGTAAAAAAAATAAAATAAAGTTGGGGGGAACAAACTATGTAGAGGGGGGAGCAGACAGCATGGAATGGCATGATCAGTGTGGTCTGAGCATGTGCAGTGTGGTCTGAGCATGTGCAGTGCGGTCTGAGCATGTGCAGTGCGGTCTGGGCATGTGTTGTGTGGTCTGAGCAAGTACAGTGCAGTCTGGGCATATGCAGCACGGTCTGAGCATGTGCAGTGCGGTCTGGGCATGTACTGCATGGTCTGGGCATGTGCAGTGAGGTCTGGGCATGTGTGGCGCAGCCTGGGCATGTGTTGCGTGGCCTGAGCATGTACAGTGCAGTCTGGACATATGCAGTGTGGTCTGAGCATGTGCAGTGCAGTCTGGGCATGGATGGCATGGTCTGGGCATGTACAGTGTGGTCTGGGCATGTGCGGCGTGCTCTGGGCATGTGCTGACCCCCCAGGAGTGCCACAGGGAGCAGGTGTGCATGATAATGAAGAGACGGCAGCTGCTGGCCATGGCTGCCCCCCCCCCCACCCAGGCCAGCCCATGCACTGTCCCCTGTCCCCGGGAGATGGGAGGCCGAGGGGGGTGGGGGGACTGAGCCACTGAATGGCAGCCCCCCCTGCAGGCCATCACTATGAGTGGGGCCATTGTTCTGGCCGCCATTCAGGGCCGGCCAGGGCCCCGTCGCCTCCACGCTTAAAGAGTGTGCATTCAGCTGTTAAACCACTCACACTATTCCTTAACCCCCCCCGCCAAAATGTGAATTTTCCACCGTCTCCCTCACGCTGTCGCTGCCCCAGACCCTAAGAGGCTTACCCCAACCCTCTGCAGTGCGCCGTTTGGCAGAACGACTTCATCCGAAAAGAAAAGAGAGCGGGAGACCCAACAAAGCCCCGGAACAAAAGAGGACAGAAGCGGGTGGATTGGGGCGGCGGCCCCCATCCCGCCGAGGGGGCGTCTCTCTGCCTGTGGAGGAATGTAAGCGTTTACTCAGAAATGTTCCCCCCATCCCTGGCAGCCGCACTTTGCATGCCCCTGTGGGAAGTCACAGCCCCCTTCGAGTCGCCCCCGCGTCAGGCCATGTGAAGGTCCCTCCCCCCCGCACCGCATGACCCCCCCCCAGGTAAACACCCGTCAGCCCGCGGGTGACCAGTGGCGGCCTGCGACCCACGTGCTGAGCCGCTCTCCAGGCATGCCGTCCGCACCACGTGTGCGGGGCCACGTTACCTGAGCTCCCCCCCCCCAGCTGCCCACAATCCACTGCTGCGCAAACACCAGTAGCTCTGCTTCCACCGGTTTCTGAGGAACGGCAGCCAAGTACCTGCCATGAAAGTGAATGGCTTCGGATCGGAACGTGGGGATCCGCAGACAGTACGCTCTCCGCGGGAGAGAAAGGTCCAGGGAGACCCAAATTAGAGGGGCATCTGAGGCGCTTAAAGGGCAAGAAAAAGGCCCATTAACTTGGTGTTAAATGACTAGAAACGGCCACAAAAGGGGGGCACTGAAAGGTACTGAAAGATTGCCGCTGTTGGGACGATACTGTAATCTATCCCCGCGCCATTGTTCCCGGAACGGGTTCCTTTGTGTTCTCCGCGTTCTACACCAACAGGCCCCGGCAACAGGTCTCCCTCGGTGCTGCTATGTCCCCTCAGGCTGAGCAGATGTTTCCTTGACCTTTGACCTGCAGCCATTTGCAACAGGGGACGGGGGGGGGGGATGGAGGGGGGGGTTCATTTGCCTGCCTAATCTACCATCTGCTGCTGTGGGGACACTGAGAAAAGTTAAGCATACAGAAAATAAATGAATAAATAGCAGGAAAATTCCTCATCAGGGTGTTAAAATGGCAAAAAGCCTGGGTAACGTTTTGGGTAGAGGGTCCGTGTGGAGGCCCTGGGGAGGGAGCAGAAAGGGGAGACTGTCAGGTCCTGCTTCCTCCACATGGGGGATTCAGCACAGATCGCTCTGTATCTGAGCTGTTAATGTCACTTTGCACTAACCCTAACCCTAACCCTAACCCTAATCCTCTTTCCCTCATTTCCTGTCGTCTGCCGTCTCTCCCAGGGCCTCCGCTCGCGTCTCCCTCCCTTGCTCCCTCCCTCCAAACATTAGCCAAACTCTACCCCTGTCGGGTTCACATCTGCCGGTGTCGATCAGGGGCCTGTTTATGTTCGTCTGCATTAGCCAGGATCCCCTCCACTCGTGGGAACGAGACCCAGCCGGGGGGGGTAGGTGTTAATGAGTAGCATCCCGGTCTCTTTCAACTTCAGAAAAAGGTAAACAGTAGGCGATCCCCAAGTTAACAGACTCAGGTTATAAAAAAGTAATTGGTGGTGGAAATGGGTCCAGAAGCTGGTGAGAATACAGCTTCCACCTCAGAAGCCTGCATTTTGATATGGTGAAGTCAGCGCAAGCTCTACATCTACGGTTTGGAATAACACAATCACAAAGGATCATGGGAGGAAACTATGTGTGACCCCTTAGCCGACTGCTATAGAGTTTCTGAGAGCATCACTTGCATGAATCCTGGTTCTTTGTGCTACAGACAAGGTTCGATTTGGACTGGAGGAGCAACTATTCCATCAAATCGAATGAAGCCTGTCGAGATGGATGTGTATGGGCGTGTATGGATGTGCATGGACGTGTATGGATGTGTATGGATGTGTATGATTGTGTATGGATGTGTAGGGGCGTGTATGGATGTGCATGGACGTGTATGGATGTGTATGGATGTGTATGGACGTGTATGGACATGTATGGATGTGTATGGTTGTGTATGGATGTGTAGGGGCGTGCATGGATGTGTATGGACGTGTATGGATGTGTAGGGGCGTGTATGGATGTGTATGGACGTGTATGGATGTGTATGGTTGTGTATGGATCCCCGAGAAAAGAAAAAATTATGGCACAGCCACAATAATACATCAGTGGAGAAGTTTATAAGTCATTGCATTTTATTATGTGCCCCCTCTACACCTCTACACACACGTTTGTAATTATTCATTTCTATGGGGAAAACTATAATCCCAATATGACGACCTTAACCCCTACCCAGCCCTAAGCTTAACCAAACAAAATACGAGACTTCTGGCATTTTTAGCTTTTTGATTGTATTCACAGATCTTTGTGGGGACCTGAAAAATGGCAATATAACAGGTTTTTATCACATTGTGGGGAACATTTGGTGCCCACAATGTAATATAACACACACACACACACACACACACGCACACACCTACACACAAATACAAACACACACACACGAAAGAAAATTCACAAGAAGGAGCAAAAACCTTTTAAATGTCCCTTTTAATAGCCCCCTAGAGGTCTGACCCCACCCACAAAACATACCATTACACAGTCTACCCCACTTAACACAACAAAATATACAGTTTTAAGATCCCCAATTGGTCCAACAAAATAACCATTCAAAAGAAAAACCCACAAACATATTAATATCAAAGCACGCCAATGCACAAACCCCCCAAACCATGTACAAGCCTTTTACATCTAGTGGTGTCACACGCCCGCTGCATAGATCAGTCTGAGTTACAGCCAAAGACTGTGGACCCAAAACGCCCTGGACCTGCCACGAAACGCTGCACCCCCACAGTGACGCACCACATCAGAAAACATGGACAGACTTTGCCTATCAAGTAACAAATAAACAGCGAAACCCCAATTTCTAATCATTTAACTGAGGGAACGTCAATAACGTAATGAGAAGGACACTAATCAGGTTTGCTCAGGGATGTCACAAAAGACACCTCCCCTCTTCCCGCTCCCAGAGGGCATTTCCTGTGTTTTCAATAAAATCAAGGGATGTGCA